CCACCCACTCACCATTCTTGGGCTCTATTTTTTCTAACCCTTCTTGGGTGCAATTCGATTTTGAGGGAGAAAAGATTAGTGCATGGAGCTGAGAAAAAATAATAATAGCATCTAACGTGTTCATCATGCTTTACAGTGCACCTCAAGCTGTTTCTCACACCGGGCACACAGTAGGCTCTCAATAAAGGTTTGCTAGATAAAAAAAAAAATTCTCTCTCACTCCTCATAATCACAACGTAAGGTAACAGTGTTATGGCCATTTTACGGAATAGGAAACTGAGGCCCAGAGAGGAGGCAGTCACGCAGCCAGTAGGTGGCGAAACTGGGTCTTGAGTCTTAGCTAATAAATTCAAGGCCAGTGCATTTTTTTCTCTAGGAAATAAATACCCGCCCGGCTCAGCGTTCTCGCTTCTGCCTTCCATCCGTGGGGAGTTGAAGAAATTCCGGAAAGGCAAATCAGGCCTCTGCGCACAAATACAAACAGGGCCGGAGCGAACACCTGTGTCCCCCGTGCCTGCTGGGCTAGGCGTGGGGTATGGACCGGTGGCAAACGCGGGGGAGGAGTGCACTTGGCGAAGAGACTGGGCCTGGTGGCGACGCTAGAGACCACGGTTTCCCGGGACGCTGTGAGTGCTGGCAGGGCGGCGCTGCTGCCCCACAGCAGCCCGGGCTGCACGGGACGTGAGCTCCCTGCACCGAGCGCCCAGGGCCCCTGAGATCGTGGGGACCACAACGTCAAACCTCAGCTCCTTGGAGCGCGGGGACTTTGAAGGCGCAGTTATGTCTCCTGCATATTTCCGGGGAAGAAAATAAAGCACAGAGCGAGGAAACAACACCTCCAGGGGCATCCCGCCGGTGATGCCCGGGCTAGGGCTAGAAACCTCGTGTCCAGATCCCAGGCGGGCCTCCTCCCACCCGCCGTAGGGGTTGGGTCTGGAGAAAGTGTGGGCGGAGGCGTCAGTTGCGAGTCAGACGACAGGCTGGATGGGACGACGGTGAAAGCGCCTGGGAGAGTCCCAGAGGTAACTAGCCCGCGCATCAGAGGTCAGTGGGTAAAGAGAGAACCCATGAAAATCGAGATGTGCGCATGAACCTTTACCTTCTTCCTAGTCCTGAAAGACGTCCCAGATCCGACGGAGACCAGCGCTCCTCCTTTCGCGGAAGCTTTGGGACTGTCTGGCTCGGATCCCGGCTGAGCAGTGCGTGGGACCTTCCCGGGGCTGGGAGGATAGAGGAAAGGGAATGAATAAATAGCCTCTCCTAAAGTTCCACATCTTTTCCGAGCAAATTTTACTCCCCTCCGTAGAGCCAATTAAACGCAATAAAACCTTGCATGGAACCTCTCTTCCTAGCAAAGCGTCGCCAACAATTGCCTAGGGGTAAACCAAATACGCCTCAGATAATTATACTAAACCCGGGGCAAGGAGTTGCCTGCCAGCGTCCTCCGCGCCAGCCAATATTTGGATAGTGTAGTGTGTGTGTGTGTGTGTGTGTGTGTGTGTGTGTGTGTGTGTGTGTTTAAATTACACGCCGAAACCTGAAACCTGCTGGTCGGTGCCAGGGAGGTTACATGATCTGTTTTTCTTGAGCAGAGGTCTGTAGGCAGCTGCGGCGCGCACAAACCCGCCCCCTCTGGGGCTGCTGCGAGCCTGCAAAACTTGCCGGAATTAAATCAGCCCTGAGAGAAGGAGGGAGGAGGGGACGAGCGCGCCCCCCCACGCCACGCCGGGATTCCCCCAGAATACTCCCCGGCGGCCGGCCCCTCTCCAAAATGGACAGGCGTCCGCCCTTTGGGTCCGGCGCTCTCCTCTGCAACTAGGACCGCCGGGGCCAGGGTCGGGGAGCACCCGGAGCGCAGAAGCATGAAGATTGGTCTCTTCCCTCTATCGTCACGGTTCTGTTTGGGATCCAAGTTGTGCAGTAGCTCGCCAGACCCCAGGCTGGCCACGCGGCTCGCGTCCCCAGGCTCCGAGACCGAGGGGGTGGCGGCCGGGTCTGTAGGTGTAATGAGCTCACCAGTGAACGCTGGTTTTCAGCTTTCTAGTGTTCAGGTGGTGAGCGTCAGGCTTACCCCACGCGCCTTGGAAGGGCCCTTCTCTCGCTCTGTCCCCAGACACCACCGGGTCCACTTGCCCGACGGGAATGCACCTGAGACCTCCCAAGGAGGAGCGTTGCTTTTCCGGAAGCCCGTGGACTAGATACTTTCGTAAGCTGCCTTTGCCCGCTCAGCTTGGACAGGGCTGCTCTCGCACCACGTCTCTCAAGGGAAAAGGGGGCCCCGGCCCCCGCGGGCTCGAGCTGTCACAGTAACCGTAGGCGTGTTGGGAATTCCTCCGTGGCATCGCGAGGCCGGGAGGCCGGCTGCTGCTCAGCTCCTGAAACTGCCTCGGCGGGCCAGAAATTCAAAAAAAAAAAAAAAAAAAAAGCTTCCATTGGCGGAAGGAACTGCCTCTGTCTGGAGTGACAGCGAAAGCATCCAACTCTGAACGGGTCTCCTTCGCTGGGGGCAAGCAGGAAGCTGCTCTGTTCCCCCGGGGCCCTCCTGCACACTTTACTTAAACTGTCTTTGCCTATTCTAAAGCGGCTGCTGGCCTAAGAGCACTAGACAGAAAGCCAGTTCCCGACTAAAGATGAAAACTATGCATCTGCCCCGCTCACTGAACCCCTACAACCCGATGGGCAGACAGCGCGGCTCTGGTCCTTCCCTGGGGCAGCTCAGCCAAAGTCACAAGCTGAAAACACGGGCCTGGTGTCGCCAAGGTTGGAGGGTAAGAGGCAACCTCCCAAGCAGCCTGGGCCGGCCGCCTTCTGCTTCCAGACTTAGACATGGAAAAGAAGGAATTAAAACCCGAGCGAGCCGCAGTCCCTAACACATGTAGCTCTTTTCTCCTCCACTGGCGGAACTGGAAGGGGCCCGCGAAATTTCCAACTCCAGACATCTCATTTTACAAATAATGCAACTGAGGCCCACAGACCGGAAGAGGGTGTGTTCCCCCTAAACTCTGCTTTTCCTCCCAGTCCAAGGGCATCGGCAGCCAAAATCAGAATATAACTTGGGGTTCTCCCGGCCTTCAGCTGGGATGCACTGCTGGGCTTAGTGCGGAGCAGGAACCTGTTCCCCGACCCCAGCAAGCACCGGGACCCCAGCGCTTCGGCTCATCCACCTTTCCCTCACAGGCCACGCCAGGCCCTGTGGATTCATCGTTTTGACCTCCCATTTGATTTTAATCACCTCCCTTCCCTCGATGTGCTAAGAATGGCAAAGACTTGGTTCCAGCACACCCAGGTGATGGGATCTCAGTAATCCCAACTCCTCTTTCTAGCCCCAGCTCAGATGTCACCTCCCCAGAGAAATGCCTCACCCTGTCCCATCCACCCGCTCTTGAGAAGCGCGGTGGAGCCTCCATCCACCAATCCTCTATACCTATAAAGGTATAAAGTAATTTCCTGGTCACTGTCAACTCTCGCTCTACACCGCGGTCCTGGAGCGCAGAGAGCTGTACCTGGCGCCATCCATGGGCCCGATATACAGTTGGTGCGCAGTAAAGTTGTGATGAAGTTAGCATTTGACGAAGCTGTCCCTGGCTCTCCTCCCCATGAGTTTTCCCCTCCATCCCTCCAGGCACTGGGATTTTTTGCAGAGAGCAGGCTTTGAGGTCACGATTCTCCGAACTTTACCCAGAGTGGCTAGTCGAGGAGAAAGGTAATATAAGGAGAGAGAATCAGAGCTGGTAGGTGGGAAGAGTGAAAGGGTCGGGGGAGGCTGAAGATGCAGGAGAGAAGAGGAAAAGTAGGGTCCAGTGCCCCTCTGTCTAGCGTCGCGACCCGGGTGTGGTGCGGCAGCGGGGACCGCACCCGGGGCTGCGCCCCTCCCAGCCAACAGCCTGCGCTCCCCGCCCCACTCGGCGGCGGCTGGGTGCTGCGAGCGGGTGGTGAATGCGGAGGGTGGGGGCGCCCGAACCTGGACGGAGGAGGGGGCGGGGGCGAGGCTCCGCGCTTTCTTGCCCCTGCTTCTGCGAGAGACGCGGCGGCGGCGCGGAGTCCCTCAGCCTCGGTCATGTGATAATCTCGAAGCGTGAGCTGCGGGGGTCTCGGCGTCTCGGGGACCATTACAAAACGCAGCCAGGAGAGCGCGTCGCAGCCACAGCCGCCGCCGCCTCTCCAGCTCAAGACCCGCCCGGGAGAGCGGCGGCTGCTGCTGCGGCGCGGACCGCTGAGCCGGCCTCGGGGCGTCTCGCATCCCCCCAACATTCGCAGACACCCCCTCCAGCCCGCGGTTCGCGCCCCGCGCCCCCGCCTCTCCTCAAAGCCTGCATGCTCCGCGCCTGCAGAAGCCACCAAACTTTTCCCCGCCAGCGACCGCCCACAGCTCTGTCCCGGCTCCGCCGCGAGCTGCTGGAGGAAAAGGTGACTGACGCAGGCTGCCCGGAGCCGGGCTTCCTTCTCCTTACCTTGCTTCTCCTATCCAGGAACACAGAACTCCAGGGTGGACTAAGTGGCGGGGCAGGGAGCAGCCTTCCCCCGCCTCCTGGACAGCGAGTGTCATTTCGGATTTAAACGGCCAGAGTTCTGACTGTCCGGTCCTTCCTCTCAGCCCACTTGGCCTGCGCTTCCCTCGGACCAAGAAAAAGCAAGGAGACCGGAAGAGAACACGGCCCCTCCCCACTCTTCCAACGCCTGCTCCGGAGCTCAGTCTCTGGCCAGCCGAGGGAAGACGCAGCGAGGGTGGCGGTGAAGCTGGCGCGCCCCGCCCGCGCCTGTGCGCTCGGGTCGGCGGCCGTCGGGGCCAGAAGTTGTGAGCATCCAGAGCTAAGTTGGCCCAAGAGGCCGAGCGCGGAAATCCCAGGCAGCTGAGAGAAGGCGGGAGATAAGCGGCAGGAGGGCCTTAGGGGGAAGAGGGTGGAGTGGCGGGGCTGGGCGGGCGCAGTGAGGAGTAGTGGAGACAGCCAGGCCCCGGGAGCCGGCTGCGGAGCCGGTGGGCGGTGGAGGCGCCAGGGGCGATGCCTCGGCCGGGGAAGAGTTCGTACAGCGACCAGAAGCCGCCCTACTCGTACATCTCGCTGACCGCCATGGCCATCCAACACTCGGCCGAAAAGATGCTGCCTCTGAGCGACATCTACAAGTTCATCATGGAGCGCTTCCCCTACTACCGCGCGCACACGCAGCGCTGGGAGGAACAGCCTGCGCCACAACCTCTCCTTCAACGACTGCTTCATCATGATCCTGCCGCGGCCCGACCAGCCCCGGCAAGGGGCAGTTTTCTGGGCGCTGCACCCCGACTGCGGCGACATGTTCGAGAACGGCAGCTTCCTGCGGCGCCGCAAGCGCTTCCAAGGTGCTGCGCGCGGACCCACGCTTCACCTGCACGCGGGAAGCACCAAGGGC